GTGTGTGTGTGTGTGTGTGTGTGTGTGTGTGTGTGTATATATTTGTATATATATTTGTATATATTTGTATGCATGTATATACAAATATATATTATGTATATAAAAATATATATATATATACTGTTTTATGTTTATGTTGTTGTATCGCTATGTGAGTTGGTGTGTTGTCCCTCGGTTGTTTCTCCTGTTCTCATGTTTTCGTTGGTATAAAGTACGGAAAAATATTACACTCATCACCTTGATACATACAGTTTTACTCCGCGTACACGACACTCAGCGAGTATGTTTGCTCTCTCACTTTTTTCTCTGGTATCATCGCACAATGATACTCCCACCAGTGTGAGTGGTAGCTGAGATAAGGGGTGTTACAACCTGCTCACCTTTACTTCTCTCACACTCGGGACAAACCAGCGCTGTTGTCACACGCCTTTGAACTGCATAGCATTCTGAAGCCACGCAACAAGCCCGAATGGACGCTCAAGACAGACACCCTCAGCTTCAGTAGTGTCGAGGAGTGCACGTTCTGGTACGATCTTATCAGTGAGATGATCAGGAGCCAATCAGAACGCCCGAAGAAGCTGTTGGTGTTTGTCAACCCGTATGGCGGACGGCGGAAGGCTGAGTACATCTACGACCACTACGCGCGCGAGTTGTTTGCGAACGCACGCATTGACACGAAGGTGATCGTGACCACCTATGCGGAGGAGGCCAAGGTGTGTCCTGTGTCATGTGTCATGTGCCATGTGTCGTGTGTCATATGTCATGTGTCATGTGCCATGTGTCGTGTGTCATATGTCATGTGTCATGTGCCATATGTTATGTGTCATATGTCATGTGTGGTGTAGTTGTGCCGTGGGATGCGTGAGAATAAGTGTAACTGTGTTGCCCACACACAGTAGTTTGCATATGTGTGGCCTGAGTTGGCTGTGGGTGTGTGTTCGCATGCACATTCATCGTAGCCAGGGTGTGATATTATATAATACAGGGCAGGATGCGTGTGTTTGTTGTCTCTGTACTGCCTGATCGTATGTCATGAGTCATGTCATTGTCGAGGGTGTACCTTTGTGTGGTTGTAGTATTTTAGTGTCTTTATGGTCCTATTTAAATGTCAGGTCAGGTTGAGAGTAGAAAACGTACCGGTACATCCCCTCTAAACCCTAAATTCTGACCCCTAACCCCTAAACCCTAACCCCAATCCCGCCCAATGGCGCAGCAGAGTGCTCGCATGTGTTGTCAGCAGACACCAGGTGGACACGTGTATGTAGTGTGCACTTTGTCTGTCGTGGCAGTCTGTGAATGTGGTCTATAACTTGTTGTAATGAGATGACTTAGAGGTATCATGTGTGTACGCATGCACCATACCACGCATAGAGCCATGCTTTGCTGAAGCCATCACTCACACTGCCAAACTGTCTTCTGTAGCACCGATACGTACAATTACACTATATGCGCCCTCCGTCGCTTATACTAATGCTATAACCCTACAACCCGCTAACCCCCACCCACATTCAATCTGCAGGACATCATGACCACAACAAACCTCAGTCTGTACGACGGTGTGGTTATCTGCGGCGGTGACGGGTTTCTCAATCAATGCATCAACGCTCTGTTGTCTCGCCCAGACCGTGATCTTTTCAATACACTGCGCTTTGGGATGATCCCCGGGGGCAGTACTAACACTGTTGCGCTGAGTGTGCACGGAACAGATGATATAGTGACGAGTATCTTGAAGGTGTGTATGTTCTGTGTATTCAGATGCGTGTGGTTAGGTGTGTGTGTGTGTGTGTATGTATGTATCTATTTATGTGTATATATGTGTATGTGTGTATACGTATTCATTGTTTTTTCATGTGTGTGTGTGTATGTATTTATGTCTGTTTTTGTATATTTACTTACACAATTTTAAGTTGTTATTGAAGTTCTCAACGGTTTGGTATGATTCTTGAGTGTGTATGGGCTGATGATATAGTCAATATTGTTGTAAAGGTTTGGGTGTCATGAACGTATGTGTGTGTATGTATAAATAGTGTATGTCAGTACATACGTGGGCAGTTGTAGGTCCCCTCTGGAGTATAAGTGTTTGCCAGTCAATTTGGCGTCAGTCTAGTGAGACGGCCCGACGTATATATAGCTCCCAGAGAGATGTTCGGTATATCCCACACGTGGTCTGATTGTATCACCACATGATTGAAGTGTCTGCATCTCTGCGTAAGTATTTGGTTCTCAATAGTATTCTGTGTGGCGAGTCCCTCTAAAAGCTGATCCAATACAAACAACGTGTTGTCACCAGGGTTTTAGGGTTGGGCTACAACTCTAAACCAAGGGTTATCTATCATATATATTCTGATCCTGTCCTAACTCTGCGTAGTACTTGGGTCTCGTGTATTCTATCTAGATCATCGCTGGCAATAGGCAACCGCTGGACTTGTGCAAGACTACCACACTGCACGGAGACCACCTGACATACTCAGCGTCCATGGTAGCGTATGGATTCTATGCCGAGGGGGTCAATAAGGCTGAGGGATTCCGGTACGTCCCGCTTATTCGTAGTGTAATGTCTCGTTCTTGTGTGTGCGAACTCATGCGAAACTATGCTCAACGTGGCGTCCGCCCACCGTTCGGTTGTCATGCCAACTGCATCAGCCAATTATGGTATGTTGGTGGATGATGAGGATGTGATACCATTGGCTGTTATTGATGACGTCATACCCATGCCGAGATCGTAGGTTCTAAGGTGTCTCTCGCCTTAGAACAATGCTTCTACCTACCATTGTGAACAAAGAGATGCGTCTACCTACCATTGTGAGCATTACCACGCACACTATTCATCCAAGGACTCACCTCCATGTCTCGGTGCACTCCCCTCTAGATTTATGGGCCCCATGCGATACGACGTCACAGGCTTTGAACAGTTCATGCGACTTAATGCACACGAGTGTATCATTCGCTTCAAACGAGCCGCACCCAGAACCAAAGCCACAGCCATAGGCACAGCCACAGCCACTGCCACAGCCCCCGCAGCAAACAACAGGCCTGGGCACAAACAGTCCGAACGAGCCCACACACGCTCAGCATCACACCTGCCATCCTCATCACCCACACCCACCCGCACACACACATCCGACAAATTTTCCCATCTCATGGCCCGAAGTGCAGAGACGATTCTCCCAGCCTCAGAGACCACACCCTCGGAACAGCCCTCGCATATGAATAGCCCGGACCTGTCCCAGTGGATGGGGGGCGGGGCCAATCCGCACCTGTGCTTGCGGGGGTGCAAGTCTTGCCTGCCAGACCCACCCCATGCTGTGCCTATCTCATCCGTCCGGCGGAGTGAGTCGTCGAACTCACTGCGATCGCTTAATCTGGGCACAGGTATGTCATAGTGCCACGCCTCCTTAAAGTAGGGCGTGTGTGTTGAGCATTGGAGGTTGGGGTTTGGGTTTGGGTTGCGTTTGGCTTGACTAGGGTTTGGATAGAACTCTTAAACTTAATCCCTTCTTTTGGTTGCGTTGGGTGCAGGTGGTATGAGACGGCTCGTGTGTATGCATTGCTCCTCGTGCTCTTTGCGGATGGGATTTAGGGTTTAGAATTTAGGTAATATTTGCGTGTGTCGCATACCCAGCTCATGCAGTCTGGGGGCATTCGCCGGCGTACTATGTGTTGGCCCAAAAAAAGAGAGTAGGTAATTCCTCACACTATTTTTCTTCTTTTTTTTATTTCTTCTTTTTTTTATTTCTTCTATTTTCAGTCTAATCCTTTATTTAAATGATGGTTCACAGGCGATTGCTCACACAAAGAGAATGGCAGTGCCACCCGAAAGCCAAAAACATCTATCCTCAAGAAAGTCATGTCCAAGCGCTTGACGAGTACTAAAAGTAAATCTCTGGGCAAACAGGGGAGCCATGGGCATAGTAGAACGCAGGCGAATGCCGATACAGACACAGCAATCTTTGTTGCGAGAGATATAGCGGACGATTGCGCAGAAACTGCTGATCAACAGGTGAGTCGTCTAAGCGGATACTACGCTCGAACCACTGTTGTAGGGTTTAGCTTCGTATATGATATACATATTATTCTTGTATATATATATATATATATATATTGTGTGTGTGTGTGTGTGTGTGTGTGT